TTCTAAAGGTTTAATGGATATTAAATGGTTAAAAAGAAAACTTATACATTTTCATATATATTTTTTTGTACTTTTTATTAGCATTTCAATTTGCTTCAATATAAATTTTATTATTTTATTAAAACATGAATTTTTAAAACATACGACAGTAATCATTAAAATTTAAAGAATATGATTTTCCATTATTTTTTTTTTAATTTTTTTCAATGCGAAAATTCTTATCGTATTAACGAAAAAATTTTTATGAAAAACTTATGTAAATACATAATGAAATTTTACATAAGAAAATAATTTGATAATACATGCAATAATATTTGCATGAAGATAAATCTAAATTGAATAGGAAAAATCGACGCGATAAGTGCGACTTCGATTAAATAATATTACATAAGACATAAGTCGATAAGAGATCTGAAATATGTAATCGTCGTTTTGCATAAACATAGAAAGAAAGCGTGGTCATTTAGCCAATTATGTTTCGTTCGCAATTTTTCAGTTAGTTGTCATAACAAATTCAAACCTGTATTCGCTAAAATAATCAAATCCTGTATTCATCGAAAATCATAACAAATGACAAATTTTTAAAAAAATATTTAAAGATTTGATTACCAAAATTACACAGATTTAATATCCTAAACATCTGCAGATTCGTTAAAAATCATCGGTCATTAATTGCGTCTCTCTTACATCATTTTATAAGTATCTTACATCGTTGTGATTACAGTTTGTACGCACTTCTACAGCAGTTTTATACATGAGTATTATAGGAAATAATCGTGTATAAAGTTACGCGCTAAATTCAAATATCTTTACAATAAATTAGTACGCATGGCCAGTCTTATTTTTAAGTCACAGCTCCACAGTATCCCTTTGGTACATGGATGTTTAGATTTACCTCTTAAGAGCTATATACTTAAAGCTATATTATTACAATATTATATCTATTATGTGACTTAATTAATAGAGTATCAATCATGTGCCTGGCGTTTCATATAACTATAAATATGAAAAAATAATATCGACATAATTTACAAAAGTTATAAAAAAGATACAAAAAAGAAATTAATTGCACAATTTTTAATAAAGAATTTTTTTAATAAAGAAATTTTCAAAGAGAAACGGAGCAATAATAGCATATAATTTATTGTACACAAGATTCTTTACAAATGCGCTACTTATTACTCTAATTTTTAATTTTTAATCCCATTACATATTTAAATTTAAAAAAATATTTTGATGTATATTTTTTTTTGTTTAAAAATTTTACACATTGAAAGCATTCAAAAAAAGAGAAATACTATTTCATTCTAAGTACAATTAAAATTCAAATGTTGTACATGAGATTGCTACTGTATTAATCAAGTATAACTATAAACTTATCATAACATATTCGCAGTAGAAAGGAATGTATATTTTTTTAATCTTTTTGAATTTTTGTTATTTACATTGGTCTTGCAAAAAGGAAAGAAAAGTAAAGTTCCTATCACATAACTACCTACGCGATTATTTTACAAAAAATACAGCACATAATACTGTTTCAGTGCATGTAAAGTGTATGTGTGTTCGATCATTTGTCATTTAATCAAGTTAACATGATAATATAAATAACTATGGAAATAGTTCATAATAGAGAAACGCAAAAAATATACGAAACGACAAAAGTTGTGCGACGTACAACTAAAATGTATATTTCTCCATTTTCTAGAAATTTCTTTCTAGAAATATTAGTATATTTCTTCACTTTATAGAAATTTGTATCAAACGAAGCACGCTGCCGCATCCGGAATTGTAGACATGACATGGATGTGCAAAATTCATCAATGATTATATCGAATATTCGCCACTAAAGCTTTTATCACGGTAAGTAATTCGCGCAATTCGAATCCGCAAAAAATGTTTATCCCTGTCCGCAAATCATTTTCGTACGTTTAATTGGGTTTTAATTCGAAACATTTAAAAACTGAAGATCCTTAGCCAGAAATGTAATCAATTCCTAAATTAAATCTTTTTCTGAGATAAAATATAGGAAAACATCCACCAATTTATAATAATCGTCCGACTATTCGCTTGCATTTTCCGCTGGTACCGATTTTGCCCAATTGGTCATACCATTCAAAATAGTTTTTAACTGAATTACCTGCTGAAATGTACATATAGGCGAGCCGTAATTTTGCAACCACTCTATTAGTTTAGTGCAACACGCTTGCACTTCTGAAAATTCCGGCGGCAAAGAATTGGAAGATCGATTCGTGGTTTCATCGTCAATGTGATCGATATTATTAACGTTATTGCTCATCGCGTTACTGGATATTACTTCTTCCCCTACGTTACACATTCGCGCGGATAATGCTTGCTGCAGTTGTCGTTGTTGCATAGTATGTATTACAACGTTAGATTTTTCATTCTTTTCCGGTAATCTGGGGTACGGAATAGACGCGACTACATCGGAGTTATTCGCCGAGGTTGACGGCACGGGGGAAGTTTCATTATTCACCTGGGAAATGCTGCCGGACCACGATTTCTCCGCAATCGGCGAGAGGCTGTGCGATATCCTCGACGATCCCTTCGGGGTGTCCATGGTGGTTGGCGTGGGGCCTCCTGGAGCGCTGTACCTCCTTTTATTCCCGCGGTTACGCAGCGCGTTGTTGGTTTGTTGCTGCTGTTGTCTCACCACCGGCAGATTAGCCACCGCGCCGTTGTTTCTGTGCAGCTGCCGATTCTCGGCGATAAGACTTGTAAGCGATGAGTATGCGTTCAGATGCAGCATATATTCAGCATCTTTCAGCAACTGCTGGAGCAAGAGGCTGCTAGTCGCCGTATCACTAGAAGTAGACGCATGATGCTGCAGCGGGTTAATATACGATCGTTGAAACTGACTGTAGTCAATGCCGATTTCCGGTGCTCGAGGCGACGGCGAGATGTTATTCATATTCGTGGCAACGGAACCGTTCTCTGATTTTGCCCTCTTCTGAGCCGGGCCGGACTCGTGTTCCTCGCCGGTCTTCTTCGCGGAAGACATTTCCATCATACCTTTGAAGTGTTGGACGATTGAAGTTGATCGCGACAAAACTTGTGCGCGAATTTTTTCCTCAGCTTTTAACCATCCACGTAAAGTAGATTCCGGCGTACCGGTGTCACGTCCCACGGACGCTTTAGATTCGCCCTCTTTTACTCTCTTAACGGCCTCCAGTTTATCTTCACCCGAAACGCGTCTTTTGAGTCGCCAGGTTCGTGGAAACATTGTTATAATTTTTTAATTAACTCCTCTTGAGACTCAAGATCGCACGTTTAACTATTACTTGTAAGCACGAAAAACTTGATCGTGTTTCTCGACTATGACACGTGGTTTCTTGTTCCTCTACTCTTAGCGTTCTCGTGCATTCGTCTTTACTCCTTGAGAGGCAAATCGTGACTAATTTTTTTTTCGGCCACCGTCTGCGCCTTTCTAGTCTCCACCTCTCCTTCACGCCCTTTTTTCCCTTGCCCCTTCCCTCGGGCTCAAAGTCTTCGAGACAGTTCTCCAATGACGCGCTCGGTGTGCTTAGAGAAAGGAAGAGGCTATACTGGCCATGGATGCCCGGATAGGATAGGATATACCACGTGACTTGGATAAAAAATCGGCACTGGCCGCAGCGAGTCTCCCCTCTTTTCTTCTGCCCAACCAACTTGCACGTGTGAAGGGCAAATAATTAATTGTCTACGAAATAATACAAGCTTCACATACGTACGAGACGACTTCTTTCCTATCAATGTCAAGTAATCGAAAATATAATTTCTATTTTGTATAAAATATATCAAAATAAAAATCCATTCGTCTTTTCTCTCAATTTCTTTAAATCTTTCTCGGCTAAAAAGTAACAGTAAATAGTTTTCTATTTTATGTAGCTTTCATATAATGATTTCACGATTTTACATATTTTAGATTTAGTCATCGACAAAATACTATTAAAAATATTCAATTTTGGACAAATAATTAATAGTTGTTACCATCAAAGGAGCTGAGAGACCCGGAAGTAATTGAAAAGTTTTCGATATTATCGACTATTGATATAAACTTGCAATTGTTTAAACATATATAATATACATATATATATGGATTATGGATAATCAAACACTGATTTCAACTATAAAAATACATCAGATTTAAGTAAAATTAAATATTAGTTACGATACTCGTTAGATCATCGGTCTTTAATATTTCGTCGGTAATTAAATGTTTAAGGCGATTTCTTCTTTATCAACAAATTTAAAAAGATCATCTATTCTGCATTCCGTGTTTCTGTTCTGTATAAAATAAATAAAAGCATTTTTTCTTTTCGTTAAGATTTTTAACACCTATTTTATCAAAAACAAAAATGCAACTTTTTTGCCTGTTATCTCTTTACGTGATGACAGCTCTGATTTTACACCCAATTTCTTTAGACCCAATCTACTTTAGCTGGCACTAGCTTTATTATCGACATCCATGCAAAAGATAGAACACAAAAACTATTCATTCCATTGTGAAATAATTACTGTAACGAAAGATCTTTTTCATTCTTTCCACACTTGACACTTTGACATTTTTAAACCAAAACATTATTTTTCTTTCAGAGGTTTTCAAATGCTTGAGGAGCTGCCTGACAGTCTCCGTCAAAAAATAAAGAAAACTTTCTACTAAATACTTTTACTAATAAATATATACGTATAATTACGTCAAATATTTTTCCTAATCAATGTATGTGCATAATTACTCGTAAACAAGTATAATATTCATTTTGTAAAAGCTTTAGTATTTATAGTATACCTTTATCACCTACATTCCACTTGATGCTGCCACCTATATTTAATCGGGAGTACTCAATCGGGAGGTGATACACTTGCCGCTTGCCGCATCGCGTTGCCCTTAGCGACCGCGGCTTGTTTGCATGTCGATATGAATTCGAATCGCGACTCGCGATCCCGTAATCGCGCTAATAAACATTCGCCATCGGTCTCTTGATCAAACGGGCGCGTTTTTACACTCCACGTTGGACAATCAGATTGTCGTCGCAATGAACGATATCGTGACAAATCACGCGGCCGAGAAGCAATTCAAATTCGACGATTTACGTTCGGCATCTCTGAATGGACATCCGGAGGACGAGCGTGGCATAGAGGAACCTGCTGGGGTCTCCGTGAAGGAGATATTGCAGCAAGTGCAACGCGAATTGTGCCTGATCAAGTTGTGTTGGCCGGATGTCTCGGTGATCACGGAGGATCTCTATGCGCGATCACTTCCGAATACCTACCATTGCGTTAGCGACAAGGAGCGACTGCTGCTGTGGTACGCGGAAAACTTCCGTCGTCAGTTCCATACGAAGTACGCAAATCGACGACCGTTGTTGTTAGCCTGCGAGAACGAGTGTGGTGTACAAGTGGGTAAAATTCAATCTTGAAAAAGCTATATCGATTCTCAACTGATAATACATGACGATATAAATCAATGTAATACATAGCAAAAAGTCTTCGTTTTTTATCCTAATTACTTGTGCCAAATTATTTTTTCAAATCATTATAGGAATCTAATAAATCGTACAATGTCATAAAAAAAAAACAGAGTATTACATCGGTTGAAGTCTTAGAAAACCTGCATATTTTATATTTGTATTCGATATAGAATTTTGCAACAAAACTTGATTCTTTTGAGTTAACAATTTACAAATGTATAAGATTATTATAAATACATCTAGCAAAACATAAAATCAGCTGATTGTGCAAAGTCAGCTGTAATAGTATGGTCAGCTGATCATAAGATCAGCTGGTCTTACGATTTCACCATATTCTAACTATGAAATAGTATGATCAGCTGATCTATTTCATGGTTAGAATGTGGAATCATAATAAGAAAAAATTTGTTTAAAATTGTCGTTAAAGGGCTCTTTTATTAGATTTGTAATTCGTGTCAGAATTTATAGTAAAATTTTACGTAAAATTTTGCTGCTCTGTAATAAAAGAAACAATTAAGAATACACGTATCAAATATATATTAAGATGCATGTATATCATTATCGACAACATATGACAGTATTAAGAAAATCTATTCGGATAATATTTAAATTAGACATTTTGCTCGTCAATTTTTCTTAAAAATAATAATAAGGATTACTTTTCTAAGAGGATTTTCAAGGATTCTAAAGGTTTAATGGATATTAAATGGCTAAAAAGAAAACTTATACATTTTTATATTTATTTTTTTGTACTTTTTATTAGCATTTCAATTTGCTTCAATATAAATTTTATTATCATTTTATTAAAACATGAGTTTTTAAAACATACGACGGTAATCATTAAAATTTAAAGAATTTGATTTTCCATTATTTTTTTTTAATTTTTTAAATGCGAAAATTCTTATCGTATTAACAAAAAATTTTTATGAAAAACTTATGTAAATATAATACATGATGAAATTTTATATAAGAAAATAATTTGATAATACATGCAATAATATATTTGCATGAAGATAAATCAAAATTGAATAGGAAAAATCGACGCGATAAGTGCGACTTCGATTAAATAATATTACATAAGACATATCTCGATAAGAGATCTGTAATATGTAATCGTCGTTTTGCATAAACATAGAAGGAAAGCGTGGTCATTTAGCCAATTATATTTCGTCCGCAATTTTTCAGTTAATTGTCATAACAAATTCAAACCTGTATTCGCTATAAAATAATCAAATCCTGTATTCATCGAAAATCATGACAAATGACAAATTTTAAAAAAATATTTAAAGATTTGATTACCAAAATGACACAGATTTAATATCCTGAACATCTGCAGATTCGTTAAAAATCATTAATTGCGTCTCTCTTACATCATTTTATAAGTATCTTACATCGTTGTGATTACAGTTTGTACGCACTTCTACAGCAGTTTTATACATGAGTATTATAGGAAATAATCGCGTATAAAGTTACGCGCTAGATTCAAGTATCTTTACAATAAATTAGTTATACGTACGCATGGCCAGTCTTATTTTTAAGTCACAGCTCCACAGTATCCCTTTGGTATATGGATGTTTATATTTACATCTTAAGAGCTATATTCTTAAAGCTATACTATTACAATATTATATCTACTATATGTGACTTAATTAATAGAGTATCAATCATGTGCCTGGCGTTTCATATAACTAAATATGAAAAAATAATATCGACATAATTTACAAAAGTTATAAAAAAGATACAAAAAAGAAATTAATTTTACAATTTTTAATGAAGAAATTTTCAAAGAGAAACGGAGTAATAATAGCATATAATTTATTATACACAAGATTCTGTACAAATTCGCTACTTATTACTCCAATTTTTAATTTTTAATCCCATTACATATTTAAATTTAAAAAAATATTTTGATGTATATTTTTTTTTCGTTTAAAAATTTTACACATTGAAAGCATTCAAAAAAATGAGAAATACTATTTAATTCTAAGTACAATTAATATTCTAATGTTGTACATGAGATTGCTACTGTATTAATCAAGTACAACTATAAACTTATCATAACACATTCGCAGTACAAAGGAATGTATAATTTTTTTAATCTTTTAAATTTTTGTTATTTACATTGGTCTTGCAAAAAAATAAGAAAAATTTCCTATCACATAACTACTTACGCGATTATTTCACAAAAAATACTGCACATAATACTGCTTCAGTGCATGTAAAGTATATGTGTGTTCGATCATTTGTTATTTTATCAAGTTAACATGATAAATTACGATGGAAATATTGTATAATAGAGAAACGCAAAAAATATACGCGACGACAAAAGTTGCGCGACGCACAACTAAAATAAATATTTCTCTACTTTGTGTAGAAATTTGTATCTACAAGTATCAAACGAAGTACGCTGCCGTATCCGGAACTGTACACATGGCGTGGATGTGTAAAATTCATCAATGATCATATCGAATATTCGCCAGTGGATAAAATTTTTACCATGGTAAGTAAATCCATTTGTCGTCGCGCGCAATCCGAATCCGCAAATAATTTTCATCCGTGTCCGCAAATAATTTTCGTACGTTTAGTAGTGTTTTAATTCGAAACATTTAAAAACTAAAGATCCTTAACCAGAAATGTAATAAATTCCTAAATTAAATCTTTTCCTGAGAAAATATAGGAAAACGTGCACCAATTTATAATAACCGTCAGACTATTCTCTTGCATTTTCCACTGATCCCGATTTTGTCGAAGACGCAGCAGAAATAGAAAAATGTAAGAAAACGTGCACAACTTACTTAACACTTACTTAATTAAAACTAGCATTAAAATTATATTTTATGAATGTCATTGGCACACTTCGCAACTCTCACAATCAGTGTCACTCATTAACACTTTTTTTCGGAGCTTACAGCGCTCACAGAAATCGTCAATATATCGCGTTGTCATTTTGGCAAAAACACACCAAAAGAACGTAAGGAGAAACAGGGCAATAATCGCGTATGATTTATAAAGTAACGAGTGAATCTATCTAATATATTTACGTAAGACTCTACGAATTCGCTATTTATTACCCCATTTTTTTTGTGCGCACCACGTGCACAATTCCATCAATCGTCATATATACACATATAATACACACGTCCGCATACGTATTTACCTAATGTACATTTTTATACAAGTAATTCTGTCAATTCTCTCTGTACATAAATTTATTTACACGTTAACAGTTTATTTACATATCACTTTCTACGCTGCTTCAGCTAGCTCGTGCCGTTAGTCTTTCTTTTGGGGACAGTTTCTTTCGAATTTGCCCAATTAGTCATGTTATCCAAAATAGTTTTTATCTGAATTACTTGCTGAAATGTACATATAGGCGAGCCGTAATTTTGCAACCACTCTACTAGTTTAGTGCAACACGCTAACATTTCTGAAAATCCCGGCGGCAAAGAATTGGAAGATCGATTCGTGGTTTCATTGTCAATGTGATCGATATTATTATTGTTATTGCTCATCGCGTTACTGGATATCATTTCTTCCCCTACGTTACACATTCGCGCGGATGATACATGCTGCTGTTGCTGTTGCAGAGTACATATTATGGCGTTGAGTTTTTTACTGTTTTTCGGTAATCTGCTATACGGAATAGACGCGACTACGTCGGAGTTATTCGCCGAGGTTGACGGGACGGGGGAAGTTTGTTCGTTCACCTGTTGGGAAGTGCTGCCGGACGACAATTTCTCCGCATTCGGCGACAGGCTGTGCGGTACCCTCGACGATCCCTTCGGGGTGTCCGTGGTGGTTGACGTGAGCCCTCCTGGAGCGCTGTACTTCCTCTTATTCCCGTTAAGCAGCGCGTTGTTGGTTTGTTGCTGCTGTTGTCTCACCACCGGCAGATTAGCCACCGCGCCGTTGTTTCTGTGCAGCTGCAGATTATCGGCGATAAAATTTGTAGGCGATAAGTATGCGTTCAGATGCGACATACATCCGGCATCTTTCATCAACTGCTGGATCAAGAGGTTCCTAGTTGTCGCATCGTTGGTAGTGGTCGCATGCTGCAGCATTTGATAAATATACGATTGTAGTTGATACTGATTGAAGTCAGTGCTGATTACCGATGCTCGAGGCGACGGCGAGATGTTATTTATATTCGTGGCGACGGAATTGTTCTCTGACTTTACTCTCTTCTGAGCCGGGCCAGACTCGTGCTCCTCGCCGGTTTTCTCCGCGGAAGTCATTGGCATTCCCATAATGGCCTGGAGTTGGCCGGTCGGAGTTGATCGCGACGAACCCGGCCGGCTGTTATCGCTATTTTCCGAACTCGACGTCGTTAAGATTTGCTCATAATTACCTGAGGCTCTCATGTTATTCAGCTGCAATTGAATCTTCGCCTCCGCCTTGCACCAACCGCGTAACGTTGACTCAGGCACCCCGATGTCACGTGCCACGGACGCTTTAGACTCCCCACCGTGCACCCTGACGATACAGTCCATTTTTTCCTGCGGCGTGAGTGCCCTGCACGGTCGCTTACCCGCCGGACGTTCACGCATGGTTTGCCTATTAGGCCTACTGACGATACCTATGTTGTTGTTGTTCAAACTTTGGCGATAGCTCAAGCAATGACGACGCTCGCGTATCGGCCTGCCGCTACCACGGTCCGTGGCTCTTCGTTCCGTAGTTCCCTCCTGTTCAATGGAGAGATCTACGGCGGATTCTTGTTGTAGATCCAGGTTGCTGTCGGGAGTCGTCCGCGTTGACATTTAAAATGGCACCTGTTCTCCACACCACCGATCCTCCACAGTTTTTCACACTCGATCTCTATTAGTTTTTTTTTTTCTCAGACGCGCACCATTTAAACGAACAAAGTCTATTTTTGGATCACGTGAGAATACGGACCAAAAAAAACCACGTCAAATTGTACGTTCATTTGACGCGGACACACGCGGCGAAGAGTCTCTCACTCCGGACGACGACGACTGGCGCGGACGCGGAGACGGAAACGGGAACGATCCGTACGCCGCGCTGCCGGTACGGCGTGTGGCGCCGATTCGTATCTCGCACAGTAGTAAATAATACTGTGTGTAAACGCGGTTACGCCGTCGCAGCCGGTCGGGGGAGTAGTAGTACTCGTTCCTCCTCCGTGGTGGAATAGCACATGCGCTCACAGAGAGTAATAAAGAACTTTTTTATGAATGAAACAACTCGGTCGGTCGGTCGGGCGGCTACAACCACCACCTCTTTCTCTCTCTCTCTCTCTCTCTCTTTCTCGCTTCTTCCCCCTCCTACACGCTGCTGCCCTCCGTCGCAAGCAAGGCACTGCCGCTTGCTCTACACCTTGCCGCTCCGCACACCGTTCTCCTCCGCTTCTCTCCCGTTGACGGCGCTAGCGCGAGTAAAACGGAGCGTGTTGGTACTCCCCGGCGCTCCTCACCGCTTCCTCGGTTGCGACTGCACCAGCCAATCCGAACTGCGCGCGGGAAACGATATTATTGCTGTACCACGAGGAATATCGTGGTTGGGGTGGTAGCCGGAGCGTGAGCGAGATAGACGAGCCGGGTGAAATGGAGACAGCGATAGGCACACACGTTCCGGCACGAGAGGATCAGATTTTCGCCGGCGCGCACGTACTCGGGTCGCCGTTGGCCCGATAGACGCTTTTCGATTCAAATTCGCGAACGCGACGCGTGCGATCCGCGTCGACTGCTCCGCGATGCGCGTCCGTCTTAGCCTTTTCGTTCACGCTCGCGCGTTGATAGCGAGTCCGCACAAGTCCTCGTGTCCAACTTCGCGTTCACTTCGGCCGCGCGAGCGAACGAGCGAGATTGAGCACGGTCGCGCGAACAGGAATGGAGCGAGGAACCCACCGATTACACCGTTCTCTCGTGTTAGTCCACGTCTCGCGACGCGACCGATATATATATATACATACATATATACGCGACTATCGCAGGGAAGAAACTCGCGGCACCTCAAATCACACGATGCACATTTCGATTCCCGATTAATAAGGAGGGTGTTCACTCACCACTCCAAGTGTCCACCGTCCAAGAGTTGATCGAAGGCTCTCGTGCCTTGATCGCGCGTCGATCGTCTCGTTCGCGCTCCGCGCGTATAATGCCTCGCGCGATTTCCTGTGCACCCCGGCACTGCGTCGACTTCGGCCGTTCAGCTGAAACCCGCGCGACTGAAACTGACTCTCGATCGCCGATCGATCGCCAGCTACTAACTTCACACCGCTCTATCTCTCTCTCTCTCTCTCTTTCTTTCTCTCTCTGCGGACTACCGCGGACTAACCCCTCAGCAATGCGACCGGTAAATTTCGTATCGTCTCATCCGCAACTCATCATGTTGCCGAACGCGACAAATACAAACTACTACTGCCAACGCGAACCAAGGCGGTCGACTGGTCAGCCGGATCATCTCCCCTCCACCTGCTGCGCACGGAACCCCACTCCTACTGCGCATCTACCCCTACTCTCGTTCCATTTTACTCGTACCAACGGCGCCGACGAGGGAGGCAGACCCCTCCTCCTCCGCCTATCCGCGCGAGCCGCGAACGTCCGCGATGCGATCCTTCGGCCGCTCCGTGGCTCTCGGCTCGCGGCCGAGCTGCTCTGGCTGCTGGCCGATACTTCCCCCTGCCTATGGCCCTTCGTTGCGCGCCTCTTTTCTCTCTGTCACTTGACCCATCGTCAACGACGGGCAGGCCACACGCTGTTCTTCGCGTTCGGACCATGAAATGAAATGAATAGGTACCTCCTGTCCGCGAATAGACCTAAGAATTGTTTGATTTCTGAACCTGAAGGAATAATTTAAAGAAAAAAACAAATCACTGTCCTTTTTATTGTTAATCCTTTCTGTTACTTATTATTAATTGTTTAAGAAATCATTTAAGGAGACGTGCTACATCTAGACTTTGAGAATAAAAAATTTTTTTCTATTTGCCATTCCTTCGCTCTGTGTATAGCGTCTGGTTGTGACAACGTGAGCTTGATGTAAAAGCTCTGCAATTTATATACGTGGAAATTTTTTATTAATTGTGTGTGTGTGTGTGTGTGTGTATGTGTGCGATATTGATATCGTAAACATAAATACATCACTACACACTACATCAATAACGCAAATATATGCACAAATTGTTGATAAAACAGCGACACCATAGAATTCAGCCGTTCCTCCAGCATAATCCCCTCATAACGCGGGCCAGGAAACTGACCGATTGCAGTCGATTATTCTCCTCACATTCGACTGTAATTTCTTACGACTTAAAGACTTACGACTGCTTACGATTTCAATTATATAGACTCCAAATAATTCAAATAGCACCGGATCTGTGGTCCCCGCATTATATTTACAGTAAATTCCAATGTATATTTAAACGGATAGACGATGGATCAATCGTTCGATAAATAATATTTTGAAATTGTCGAGGCAAGTTTCGCGAATCACGCGGTTTACGAAGAAAGAACGAGGGAACGCGTGTCCATCCAGCACGAAACGGGCCGCACTCGTGCTTTTACATAATAAGAAAATTCCGTAATATTTATAACATTTGCCGAGGTTTCCCGGTCTTTTGTGCGGAATATGAAAGGTCGAGAAAGAGAGAGAGAGAGAGAGAGAGAGAGAGAGAGAGAGAGAGAGAGAGAGAGAGAGAGAGAGGGTCAGAGGATGTCGGATGCAGCAAAACCCTTAAATCCTTCCCGCCACCTCCGCCAGCAATCCCCGAGGGAGAGCCGGATTTACGAGCGCGCGGCCTAAAATCCGTACGAGCATTCGACGCGGAGTTACACCGGGCGCGGCGCGGTGCGGCGCGGCGCGGCGCGACCAAGGCGAGGCGAAGCGGAGCGGCGCGGGGCGAGGCGAGGCGAGGCGAAACGAGGCGAGGCGAGGCAGGGCAAGGCGAGGCGAGGCGAGGCGAGGCGAAGCGGGGTGAAGCGGGGCGCGGCGCGGTAAGGAGACTCGCTCTCGCGATAATTCGCGGGTAAATTTACCGCGAGTAACCGTCGCGCTCGCACGAACGCGAATACGCGACAAGTGTGTACCTGTACGCGCCCCGATATCCCGCGGCCTCGTCGGCGATACACGCGCGAGGACCGACCGCATTTCGTCACGTATACCGGCTCGTTTTTCACCGCGCGACCGTAGCACGGAGAAAGAGAACGAGAGCGAGAGAGAAAAGAGAGAGAGAAAGAGAGAGGGGCGTCCTACTCTCGATAATTATCGCTGTCCCCGCGCACGTTTAGGATTTCAGAACTTCAACTTTGCTAGAATCTTGGGATGAGAGTGTATCGTGGGCGATGATGAGCACAAGCACGGCCTTCCTCGACCGTCCTTGGGACACTTTGCTCTATTGTTATTGTTATTATTGTTAATAATGGTATTTATTGTGCCTAAGAATAAATTCTTTAAAATAACACGTATACGCATGTGTTTAGCATAAAAAATTGATTTCCGTGTGCTGGCGATAAAAAGACAACAAATTCTCACGTGCTTAACTGAAGATAAATGAGAGGTATATAAATAAGAGCTAAGAGACTATCCGCAAGTAATCTTAGATTCGATCGATTTGGAGTTTACTGAAGATAACAGAATTGTAATGTCAGGCGGAGATTATAATTAGTCAAATCACGTTGAAAGCGTCAGTTGGATACTGCTGGAATACGGACAGATAACTTTCGCATCGAATTGCGGAATCGATGTACACGGAATCGATGATTTCTCTCGTGAAATAGCGCCTTTAATAAGACGTACAAGTTATTCCCGAAAGAAAGAAAGAAAGAAAGAAAGAATCAACGTCCACGCTTTTTGATAAATCTGCGATACATGATTTGACATTTGTATAGGAAAAACATCTCGATACTTGGCTGTACAGCAGCAGTCAGGGACTTAGCTCGGCTCGCGAGCTATATCGCGTCGAAATTAATTCGGTATGGAGAGGAAATAATTTTCTCTTCTTTTTGGCGGCAGCCGCGACGCCGTTCGTATCTCGAGCCGCGGTCCGCGTATATCGCGGAGAGCAGCTGACCCCAGTCCCGGGCGTGAAATATATACGCGCGGCGGCTATGGCGTTGCTAAGAGCACGGCGGCAACAAAAATATGATTTCGCGGATAAGGCGCGTTGGCCGACGGCGCGCGGCGCGGCGTGGCGCGGCGCGGTGCGGTGCGACGCGGCTTCGATCTACGATTAACGAATCGAGTCTCGCGCGCGCCAACACCGCGTCGCGAGAGGCGCGAGGAAGCGCTCGCGACGGCGGGAGGGAGTCGATGGGCGGAAGAGGGGTGGGGGGGGAAGGGGAGGGGTGTGATGGGGGCGATGGGCAACAAGGCGACGACGACGCCGAGAGGAAAATCGATCGATGGCGTCCTGGTGTTATAGGACGACGAAGGCGCGCACGCACGTACACACACACACACACATACACAAGCACACAAATACACACACATACACATATACATACAAACACACATACACGCCGCCGTCGCGGGTAGACGCGAACAGAGTGGGCCCGCGCGTTCCACGACTCTCCCGTGGAACGCGAGTCGGGTAAAACCCGTACAATTAATTTTCACCTGCTTCCCTCGAAGCGAACGGAGCCATGGAGCGGAGCGTTGCCGAGTCTCGCCCGTCATCGTCGTCGTCGTTATCTTCGTCGTCGTCGTCGTCGTCCGGTTCGCCTGCCTTTCGCGGAAGGATGTACACACGCGAGCGTGAGCGCGAAAACGCGTCGCGGGCTCACGCGTGTGTGTGTGTGTGTGTGTGTGTATGTGCGCGCGTGTATGTATATGTACGTGTAAGACCCGTGGCGCGTGAGCGTTGCGTGCGCGCGTTACGTATGCGTGTGCGTATACACTCGGCCGTGCCGCACCGCGCGCCGGGCTATTTGCGCGACATGTGTGCCGTCGCGTCGCGTCTCGTCGCGTCGCGGCCCGAGTTAACGGTCGCTCGCTATCGTTCCTTCGAGGCGGTGCGACGGTGCGCGCTGCCGCTGGCCGCAAGATAATATCGATAAACGGCTCTCTCCTGCTCTCTCGCCCCGGCGTCTCATCGTCGCCCGGTGCCTTGTTGATTTCACGCTCGGAACTGTTTGCCAAAAATACTAACAAAGCGTTCGCCCTTAATAATCGCGACAGTAATGTAGTAATGATATTAATATTAGTATAGTGCTTTTAATTTAGACAGATGTTTGCGATAAAGATTAAATGGATAATTTGTTAATAACAACCTCTGTGAAGTTGCTCCCACTTTTTCAAAATTTGAAAAAAAAATAAACAGATTGTCCCCCGAGGGATTCTTGAGTTCTCTATCGATTTTAAAGGTTTCATCAATTAAAACAATAAAAACTATATATGAAAGACGGAAGAATCAACTTCACATTTCCGTAAGGGGACTATAACTTTTTCGTTTTTTATTTCAACGCTTCTCTTATTAAAGATTTGATAGAACTCTTTGGAGGAGCTACTAGAAATCTTAAAGTAAACGTACCATTACTGAACACGTATCTATATCTGAACACGTACACAAAATTTATTAATTTCTAACGCTTTTATTATAATATCAAAATTTAATTGTAAAAATATTCAAAGATTACAATTAAATTATAATATAGTGAAAAAAAAGTATTTAAAAATGAGTTGTGTACTTGTTCAGATATAGATACATGTTCAGTAATGGTACGTTTACCTTAATAAATTGTTTGAATTTCCGAAAAAATATTTTGTATCTACAGAGATTTATTATATAATTAGAATATAGGTAAAAAATTGTTTTCGAATATCCAGCATTCTGATTGTAATTATTTCCCGAAGAGTTTTAACAAAAAGATTATCTTTAACAGTCGATGCTGTATGACAAAAAGCTAAAAAGTTCTAGCGCTTTGAAAATTCTGCGCCCGAAATCTTCCAAGTCCATAGACGGAGAATATGTTTTCGGAAATCAGGCACGTATATATCGATCTGTTTATCAAAGATTAATGACACACATATCCTATAATTCGCATAACAAAAAAAAAATTACGCGTCATCGCCGGCTATTTGTCTGCGGAAGCTTTGAGATGAAGACGAATGTCAGTGTCACGTTCAGCTCGGTTAAACTCAAACCCGCGCTTTCAAGAACGGTACGGCGAGTACCGAGAGGAACAGAGAAAGCTTAGACGGGAGCGATAAGATAGGCGAGAACAAGAAAGAAGATAGAGTTAGACAGAAGAGGAGAGTTAAGTTCATTCATAAAAAAGAAAATTATTACGAGCGGCGGGAGGAGTGCGACTCCCGCAAAGTGAATGATACCTCCTGCTACTCTTACTTCTCTGCCTCCCCCGTTCACCGACCCCTCTCCCTCTGCGCGCCTCCAGTTCCCGAACGGCGATTACCCCCACCGTTTTGCCCTGCGCCGTCCTTGCAAC